AGAGAGAGAGAGAGAGAGAGAGAGAGAGAGAGAGAGAGAGAGAGAGAGGACGGACCTGCGTGCGGATGAAAGATTCCGAACCTTCCCCGAGAAAAGAGAGACGTTCACGATTCAGTGACCTTAACATTAGCGACGAAAGAGAGTGAGAAAAAACTCGAGCAGACCGGCGGTCTAGCCAGACTTCCCCCCGTTTCTTTCGCACTCAATTAAACGCCCATGCTGCACGACGAAGGGACAGTCTACGCGTTACATCGCCAGTGTGCGTTCGAACGCCTTTTTCCCCACTCTTCTTCTTTTTTAGCGTCTCGCCGTCAAATTTAGCACTTATTCTCGCGCGCGGAAGCTGAGCGGAAGCTGCTGAAGGCGACCGTCGGCGCCTGCAGCCTCCTCTTCGTCTGCAAGCATGAGGAGGATGCGGAGGCTGCGCGGGGATGCTGAGGATGCTTGGCATAGTTAGCGTCATTAGCATCATTACCACAGAAATATGCAGGCGGTGATCAGTACGCACGCACATTAACGCACGCACGCGCACACCCACGCACGCACGAATCCATACACACACATACGCGCGCACGCACGCACGCACGCACGCACACACACACACACACACACACACACACACACACACACACACACACACACATATATATATANTGTGCGCGAGCGGAGCGGACGCGCAGCGCATAAAAATCGCGGGAGATATTTATTGACAGACGGAGAGGAAAATAGGTGTTTGACTGATGAAGCGACTGAGCCATTTGCGCTGGCGTGCGCACACAGACACGCGGCCGTTCGAACGTTCTCCTTCTGCGGAGACGGAGATGCTTCGTTCCTGCATACTCCATGTCCGCTAGGAGGCGTGTATTAAGCACCGCTGATTCTTTGCGGAGGGGCGGATGCTCAAGTGGACGAAGCGTAGCGATAGTTGTTATGTTGTTCGTTCGTGTTCCGGGTCTCTCTTTCTCTCTCTCTCTTTCTCTCTCTCTCTCTCTCTCTCTCTCTCTCTCTCTCTCTCTCTCTCTCTCT